TGAACTGCAGAGTAGAATCTGGTGAGTTTCAATTATTTTGTGAGTGACTTTAGAAGAAGGATGGGGGGCTTGCTTACCAAATTGTCAAATCTACAAAGCTAGGAATGATAACTAAAATATTGGACAAAATCAAGGTTTTTTAAAAAAGGGATGGATATCCTGGAAAAAGGACCAAAACACAAGAATATTATTGCAATGGTTTAAAACGTGACATAATCCACTTAAAAAATTTTTTTTAAGTTATCCAGTTACAAATCTTGATTCAACCTGAAGATCTTGGCACATCACAGGATAGGGGTGGCCAACTGTCTGATGTTATTATTGAAAAGAAATTTTAGAAACAGAGTATCTGACCAGGATCAGCAGTTATTCTAAGCAATTTGTTCAAGTACTGGGCAATGATAAATTACAATCATAAATTAGGACGAGTCCAAGGGAGGTTAACCAGAATGTTGAGAATACAGGCAATACTTGGGAGCTACAATGAAGCATCCTCCAAGAACTTGAAAAAAAAAGATTGTCCTTTGAGGATTAAACAACAGCAGCAGCAGCAACAACAAAATTCACTTGTATAAGTGGAATTAGCCAAGTACTGGGTTAACCCAAGATGCTGTATGTACATGGATGACTTCATAGGTGTGTTAAATATAATCTCAGGGAGGTAGAACTGAAATGTGATTGTAAGAGAGGAGGGAGAAGCCTAATAAATAATAACGTTCCTTGTCTAGTGAAAGACTGGGTAAACAGACTTGGAGAGCACAGCAAGGAGCACACAAGAATTCGAAATGACCCGAATTTTATTTTACATTGTAAATCAGTAAGTCTGCATTCTAATTTATACTTTTGAGTCTTGTATTTGGATAGCATGATTTGCATAGCATTTCTCACGTGCTGATAAAACTGGTTTTCTAGACCTGACACTAGAAATGCAAGGTGATGTGGCCTTTCCTTGTCATAGGCCCCTTCCTTGTCATGGAAAAACATGAGAACACTAAGGGTGTTTAGCTGGGAAGAGAGAAGCCAGAGGTGAAATGGATACCCATCTTAGTAGGTTTAAAGGTCTTCTTGTAGGGGCAGAGGTTAGATCCTTTTGATTGTTGGGGCAAAGAAAAGAACAAAGCACAATGGATAGAAAAGACAATAACGTTTCATCTGGCTAAAAGTAGTAACAAGCTAACAATTTCAACAGTGGAACAACCATGTTTTTTGTTAGTTAGAAGTCATTGGTCATAAGCAATGAAGTCTAGACACTGTAGTAAAATAATAATAATAAAGATATAAGGTAGCTCACAGATTTGAAGAAAAAGCTGCACTACCTGCCTCAGAAGGACAGTGACCCAAGCAGAGGCAGTGACAGAGGGGGCAAGAACTAAAGGACTGTTTCTTGGGGGCACCATAACCATGATAAATCGCCCTTTGCCAATTTCTTTCCAAAATTACTGGGAAATTAATTCTGGTTGCTATAGTTTGGGTGGATGTCTCTACTTCTTTTCTTCCTTTTCCCCACACAAAGGCAAGGTAGGGAATGTTGGCTCAAGTCCACATCAAGGATTCATGCAACGGAGAGGGGAAATTTACGAAAGGAAAAGCAGTGATAGGAGACTCAAGACTTGGAAAATTTTAGCTTAAGGTAAAAAGTTTTAAGTCTAGCAAGTAATGTGTATGTTAAGCTTTTGTTTCAGAAACTACAGATAAGGCTTATCCTGGCTCCTGGGAAAAGCAGCTGACCTCCTGGGGCACCTGGAGACAAATTGGAGGCATCCAGGCCTTTTGTAAGACCTTTCCCCACCCCCTTGAGAACAGCTAACTTTGAGAACGGGAATGTTGCAGCTTCGCTCACCTAATCCTCCCTGAATTTCAAAGCCCTCACTGCACCTTGTTTGTCCTCCCCCAGCCCCTTATAAAATATCTGGCCAGGAAAGAGAAGGGAAGATGGTTTGTTAGGGTATGAACTCGCCATCTTCTCGGATCGCTGGCCATCTGAATAAAGCGCCCATAAAAGATTCAATCGCTGTCATTGCTTATTGGATTTGGTAGTGACAGGCAGCCCAAATGCCAGTGTCTTTTCCCATTACAGCGTCAGGCAGAAAAATATTAGAAACTATGTCCTCCTCATCATTGCAAGTGCAGAAGAGAAGGCCACCTATTTGTTAGGAGCCCTAAAGAAGAAATTTCTGTGCTGAAAGGAAGTTGGAAAACATGATTGAGAAGATCCCTTCTAGCTCTAACAGGAAACTGAGAAGTGGAATTTATTACTGAGATCTGGGGTCATCAGGATAGACCTGACAAGGAAGATCTGGTCCTGTTCATAAGGGCAGCTAGCAGTGAAGTAAGTGATGGGGTAGGTATGGTGTTTCAGTGGACTGATCACTGGCATTGGCCATTGAATGTCATGGGAACTGAGGCATCATCAATAGGTTTTGAACAAAGGAGAGACATGTAATAAAATCTGGTTTACAAAGTTTAATGTGGTAACTATTAGTAAAATGAACCAGAGAAAAGCAGGACCAAAAGCAGGAGATCAATTATTTTGAGGGCCTGAGCCAGGGTGATAGCAGCAGGAGGGAAAAGAAAGAGCAGATGAGAAGCATTTCTCTGGCAGTGTCTACAGAATTCATGAGGCAAGAGGAGAGGGAGAGAAAGGGAGGTCTGGGTGAAGACAGTGTAACTGAAAAAGAGATGGTACTTTCTCATTGAGGGGCTGGGTATTAACCACCATGACTTTGAAGCTTAGAGAGCAATGTCAAGCCTGAAAGCGTACATTTGGGATTCCCTCGTGTAGAAATTGCACTTGAGGTTATATGAATAACTTTCTATAAGGACAAACTATAGTGCAATTATAGGGCAATTATGTCTTTTTAGAAAGAAGTAGTCACTGAGAAATAGAACCATTAGAAACCATTGAAAGAATAATGAAACTTAAACTGTTTTTTAAAGGAATAGAGAGGAAGAAGAAATTCCACAAAGGGACATATTTAGGATTGATTAGGAAAGTTAAATATTGGACTGATCTGAATGATTTAAAAGTTGGATTGAACCCTGGCTGGTGTAGCTCAGTGGATTGAGTGCTGACCTGTGAACCAAAGAGTCGCAGGTTCAATTCCTGGTCAGGGCACATGCCTGGGTTGTGGGCCAGGTCCCCAGCAGGGGGTGTGCAGGAGACAACTACACATTGATGTTTCTCTTCCCCTCTTTCTACTTCCCTTCCCCCCTCTAAAAAATAAAAAAAAACATCTTTTAAAAAATAAAAATTGGATTGATTTTCATGATTCTGCTAAAAATGCTTATTTTTATTCTGGTACCCATCTGCTCTATGCCACAGTTACAGATAGAGAAATGGAAGAAGTGAGATAGGAGAGAAGTTAGTAGATGAAGAACACAGGAGAACTACTGATTTCTAGACCTGCTGATCTGCTGGGATGCTGACTGGAGAGCTTAAAGGATGGCCAGTGCTCCTGATGGCAAGGGACCTGCCAGCCCTAACAGTTAACGGTGGGACATGAAACAGACAACACTCACCAGGCCTACAATTCTGAGTTTAACATCTGTGAGACAAAGCAACTAGTGAAGGGAACAGCAGCAAAAATCACTGACACTAGTGACCTCTAGTGGAAATAGGTTTCAATATGTACATATAATGCATTTATTACATCTAATAGATATTATAAATAAGATGGTATTCATTATAATGGATAAATACTATAAACAATATTTATTAGAATCATATATATGTGTACATGCTATTAGATTACATGAAAATACATGGCACGTTCACCCAATTTATTTCCAGAGCATGAAGAATGGGGCTGCTGGAAATAGCATATAAATCTTCCCCAGAAAGTGGCAACGTACCAGGAATACTTGGTGTTCTGAGCCAGACTGACTTGATGAATGTTCTGGAGAACATGTGGACACTAATTGCTGTTGAAGGCATTACCTGAGAAAAGAAGAGTGACTTCACTGGTCACTGGGGGAATCTGGCACGTTAATGGCAGCCAACAAGAGAACGTGCTGACAGGCTGGAGGAGGAAGCTGCACGGTTTGCTAGCATGCCTTTCAGACATTTCTTCTTTCTAACATGGAAGAAAGCTGTTATTTCTGAAGTGTGTACATATTTGCTAATTCAGTATTTTATGGCTTGAGCCCTGTCCCTTTCCTTTGCCCCATGGCTGTTTATGCCACAGGTTGGCAAATGCTGTTGAGCTGTGATGATGCGAGAGGATGCTCAGTGGCCTTGGCCTTTGAAATGGGACCAGTCTCATGAAGGGTCCCAGCCTGACCAGGAAGGTCAAGATCAAAGCACACCACATCCAAACCCTTTGGGAAGTACTTTCAGAATCTATAATCTCAACATTGAGAAGCAAAAGAATGGGAGGGCTGATAGAAATTTTTAATTTGTCTGATCACACTGGGGGCTAATGGCTGGTGAGGTGAATTAAATGGTGGAGGAGGGGAATGTAGAAAAAGAAGCCAAGCAAAGGGAAAAAATATAGAAGCTAAGAGAATCAGGGTTATCAAGCCCTGGGCAACTGTCACTTCTGGCAGCAGAGTGAGGGTTGTCCTTGTCTCGTATTACTTGCATGGCAGGAGGTGTCATCCTGCCTTCTTTCATTATTCAGCTTCCACCACACGCTCGGCTTTGTTTCCCGACGCTGTTGCTGTAGCTTGGCAGGTCTGTTTTCCCCCGGATTTGCTCCCTCTCCTCTCCCTGTCATTCCAAGGATTCAGAAATAACGCTTAGAGGAGCCTTCTGTGAAAATTCCACTCTGGTCTGCAATTTCCAGAGTTCTGATCCCTGTGAGTGGGCAGAAGGTGGCCTGGCTGCCCCCTGTCAATGATTTTCTGGTAGGAAGCCTTAGAGGCCCACTAGACCACAGAGCAGAGATAAGAGTGATCCCTCCTCTTTCCCCTGCAGAGATCCTTTTCCCCAAGATTAGCACAATTACTTGGCTCTAAAATAGGTCATTTCAGGGGTCTAGTCTGAAAAGTAGTTTACTTACTGAAGATGAACTAATTATTTTAATTTGCTCCAAAGCTTCTGTCAGGCTGTCTTCAATCTCGGAGTCCTCTAAGGAGAAGAGGTCCCCGGCTCGGGAGAGGTCTTTTTGTCCTAAGACCAGTCTGAACAGGTGATGCATGGTGAGGAGTTCTGATAGTCAATTGACTTTCTGTAGGCCCAGGGCCATGCGTCCCACTTATCAGAGGTGAGTAAGACAAAAACATGTAGCAGGAGGTATACTTTGTACTCCTGGAAAGGTCATTTTTCTCCAGACTTTGAGGTCTTTTACATTCTCTGCAAGAGAAACAAATGACACAATGTAGCCATTAGTAGAAAAACATGACCTCAGAATGTGAACTTGGTGCCCAGCAGAGAGAAAAAACACATAGACCTTTGGAAATGTGCATGATGAAGTGAGTTTCAATCTTTTTCATCTCGTGGCACACATAAACTAACTACTAAAATTCTGAAGCACACACCATATATATGTATATATTTTGCTGACTTGACAAAAATTGGTATAATTTTGATTCATGCACACCAGACAGCTATTGTTTTGTTAGCTGTTGTCATTTTTTTTTATTTGACCATCTAAGGGAAGAGAGGTCAGTGCCCCTGACTAAACAGTCAGGTATTGCATGTTTTAAAATCTTTTGTGACACACCAGTGTGCCTCTTGCAGCACACTGGTTGAAAATCGCTGGCATAGAGTAACAGATTCTGGCTTGATATCTTCAAATGAGATCTTTCCTTATTCTTGCCTCAAAAAATCCTGTCAAAAATTATTAGGTTTCTCTAGAATTTAATTTGAGCCTTAAAGCAGCATAAACCCGACAATTATTTTTCTCTTTTCTATATAATTTTTTTTCTCCATGCCATAAGGAAATAAGTGGACAAGCAACAAATACGTCCAATGTTTGCCAGATTTTCCCCAAACAGATTCCCGTGGAAACCAAACAGAGAAGGGCAGTGGAAGAAAAGAGAGAACAACAGGAAACATCTTTTAGACCCACTGCCTGGTTTCCTCTCTTTTCCGGGACATGGAAACCAATGCTTACCTTCCTGGTGGGCCTTCTTCGCTGCAGTGGCCACAGAAGCTGCTCCAACCCTCAGTCCAGAAGATGACCTAAATACCTGACTTATTCTTATTCACTCCCTAAACAAGTAGCATTGAAATAAAGGACTCTGCCTAGGAGCGTGTGGCCAGTTACATCTTGGCAGAATGTGAGCGTGAACTTGAATATTGAACTTGAAGATGATAACCTTTCAATGCAGGCTAAAGGAGAAGGGCTTTGGGGTCAGGCAATCCTCCCTCTGGCCCCATAACTGAAATAATGAACGCCCACTGTAATTCCCACTCAGTTAACAGTCCAAAGAGAGTAGGGAAATAGTGCAAATTAAATATCTGATTATTCTCATCAGCTCCCTTCTGGGCCTAATAAAATCACAGACCACTTGCACTGTAGAGACCTTAGCAATCATTTAATGGCCAGGGAGGTTTAATGACTTCACCAAGGCCCCGTGGTAACTGTGGGAGTACTGTTCTCTTAATCTCAGACGAGCGGGCTTCTCCCACACTTTACAGATAATAGGAGTTATCTCGTACGTGCAGGTAACGTACAAGTGCAGCCACCTGCACAGAGAGTGAGAACTGAGAGTGATTTATTTAATACAAGCAATAGGCAATTCTTTCTAGCATTTCACTCTGCTGGTCTCCACAGAGTGAGTGTGAAAAGGAAGAGGGGAGTCTCTTATTTCCTAGGCCATCAAAAACACCCCTCCTGTGCTATCACTGTGGGAGTACTTCTGTGCTAAATGCAATTTTAAAGTGTAAAGATACATAGTCTCTATGCAATATGGTCTCTAAGTACAAGCCACATCTTTCATCAGGCACTCAAGTAAATAAGCTCCAAGTAGTATTCCAAAAGATGCAATTCATGGGCCATTAAAGAGATTTCAAGGGTCATATTGCCTATATGAAACTATTACACAACCCACCAGCTTTAGAAAAATAACACCCAATATTTATATACACTTGTCTGTGTGCCAGGTATTGTTCTAAATGCTTTGTAGACATTAACTCACTTAACCCCCATAATAACTATACGAAAATATTTTATCCCTATTTGACAGGTGAGAAAACCAAGGCATTAAATAACTTGTCCAAGACACACAGCTAGTAAACTGGAGAACTAGATTTTGGATCCAGACTGCTAGGTTCCAAGTTCATAACCATTGTGGTATGCTGGTTTCATGTGAGACTTCTATTAGGAGTAAAGGCCCTCAGAGCCTTAGTAACATTTGAGGATAAAGAGATGGGTAAAGTCTTAAGAAAATGAACTCTTCTTTCCTCCTACACTGACTCTGCATCCCTACCCACCTGTATGCCCTGGGGTGTAGGCCAGCCAGAAAGCAGAAGAGTTGCAGGGAGGAGAAGCTTAGAGGAAGAGAAGTGAAGGAGCTTTGTAGGGAAGGTTTAGAAAGAGAAGAGGAATAAAGTACCCCTACAGAGTAGTTTCCACCGTGGCAAATTGTGGAAGGGTGAATTACAACAGCAACAAGAAAAGGTAGGGCAGTTTTTTTCCTCAATTTTCCCTTTAATGCATTCTTCCACCACCCGCACTCCCCAACTCAGATATTTATAGTAAGAGAGCCTCAGTGAAGTCATATTCAGGAAGATAAGACATGGGCTGGAAATGAGTTCGCCTTGACCAGTTAGCTTGTTGGTCAGCATCTGGCACTTCCCGAATCAGACTCAGCTGTCCCACACATATCAGAGCCGGGGCTCTGAGAAGGAGCAGAAATATGGGTTGGGGGAGAGGGGCACCCACAGGCTTTGTCTGAGCATTTTCTGTATTCTCCAAATGTGCCGTGACAGTGGTGTGGAGCCCACAACCATGCTTTCACCTTCACCTGTTACTCCTAAGTGTCCATCACATGCAAAACATTGTTGTTCAACATGTGACTGTACATGGAAACTTTCACACATCTAGGGGTGGGGGAAGAAGGGGTGAGACTTATACCAAACATTCTACAATGCAGAGATGACCCAGAGAGAAGTCTTCTGCACGCTGTAAAAGCAAGTTTGTGGAAGTACAAGGGAGAGAGAGATTGTTCCTAGCGGAAGATGATAAGGAATGGCTTTGTGGAGGACATGATGTTGGAACCAACCTTTCTGAATATGTTTCATTCAATGCAGGTGTCCTAAGTACATGCTAAGTCAGCTTCTTGTCTGGGGACCAAGGTTCAAGTCCCAGACCGGCCACTCAGTGGTTATGGGACCTTTGATTGATGTCTTTTCCTTCCCTGAGCCTCTGTTTCTAGATCTGCAAAATGGGGTTAATATATGCCTAGTTTATCTCATCAGATTATTTCGAAGATGAAAGCTGATAACACACGTGAAAGAGCCCTTTGTGAAATAGTGACACCAACATTTGAAGTTCCGTGAGTGTTAAGCAGGTGTCAGGCACTACTTCAAGCACTTCCCAAGTACTGAGTAACTTAATTCTCATGAGAATTTCATGTGATGAGAAATTGATGTTCAGAGAGGAAAACAACCAGCCCAGGGCACACGGAGAGTACGCTGCAGAGTTAGGATTGAAGGCACTTGGTCTCCCAAGACAAAGCCCACTCAGGGCTGTGTACAGCCGTATACATGACTGTGTGTGATAATTATTAAGCTGCCTCCCTTCCCATCAGTCCTCATTTGAAGAGCATCCCACATGCCACACTGTGCTATCTTTCCTGGATAAGGATCAGCAAGACACGTTATTTATTTTTCAGCAGCTCGGGTCAATGTTTTGCTCCAGTGTCTGGTTTCTTTGAAACAACAGAGAAGGTCAGAGCCAGATCAAATTCTACCTCATTTCCTGGGGAACCCACTATCCTTTTGAATGTCGTAGCCCTGTGATCTAAATGCATGGATGCAGAGGCACCCAATGATACACACACAAGCACACGCCTATGCACATATGTGTGCACACTCAGGCACTTTCTATACATGAAGCTCTTTGCTAGCCACTCTCTGCTCTTACTTCTCTCACGGACCCGGCAGGTTACAAAGAGGAAACAGGACTGGTGAGATTGAGTGTCCTGTCCGAGGCTACACACAGAGCCAAGATTCACATCCAAGTAGGTCAGTCTCCAAATCTCGTACTTTTTGAATTGAAAAAAAAAAAACACAACCCACTGGCTTATAAAATTCCTTCTTACTCCCAACTTTCACTCTCATCATTTCCTTTTCTAATGTTTCAGGAACCTAAACTGAAGTCCACATTCTCATTATTTAGTATATATTTCTTCAGCAGATATTGGTTGACAAGCCAGGTTTCTGTAAGAAGACACAGACACCCCCAAAAGAGAAATGATGCTGCACCAAGCTGATGCATTTCAGGGAGTCACCGTTCTCCCTCCCGGCAAACTCAGTTTACCTGCGTGCTAGTCCTCACAGGCGCTCTTGCTGTCACTTAGCTGTGTGTTTGGAGGCTGGGAGGGAGATTCGGGCAGCGGGCTCCCCGAGCGCAGCGAGAGGAATCCACTCAGCTCAGTGAACCTGAAGTTGATCATTGTGGTGCCGGGTGCTGGGTGAAAGAATTCATGGAATGCAGCCCGATGCCACCGACAGCTCCGGAGCCAGTCAGGTGACAGGCTACACCTCGCCCAGTGGAGAGAGAGTTACCTCTGAGTGAATTGCTCTGTTTCCTGGGGCGAAACATAAAGCCTGCTCCAGTAAAGTAGAGTTGTTTGTAACAGAGAAAACAAAACTCCCTGTGTTCGTGAAAATCTATACTTGCCCTGGAAAGAATGGGGGGTGGGGATCGAGCCACATAGGAAACACAGTTTCAACAGCAACTCAAGCAAGTGACTGGAATGGCTATTGGGAGCCATTTCAACAAAGCGGGGAAGAGAGAGCTGTAACTTAATTAACACTCCTCTCCTCTCACACACGGAGTTTGAAACACTGACAGTTTGTCCTGCAAGAGCCACAGCTCCTGCAGAAGTGATTTCCACCATTTTCACCCCATGGCACAAGTAAACTAATTACTGAAATTCTACGGCACACCAAAATACATGTATTTTTGCTGATCTGACAAAAAACTAGGTATAATTTTGATTCACTCACACTGGATGGCTATTGGCTGTTGTCATTTTTTAATTTGACAATCTAAGGGAAGAAGAGGTTAGTGCCCCTGGCTAAACAGTTTTAAAAATTCTGCATGTTCTAAAAATTGCTGCGGCACACCGGTTGAAAAGCGCTGCTCTAGATTAATACTGTTAAAAGTTTAAGGATGCAGGAAGTTGCTAATAAACAGAACAAACTTAACAAAAATGTGTACAGCAGGTTCTGGAATAGTGTCCTTTCATTGAACATTGTTTTGTTATGACATTGAAAAAAAATTAGAGTCCTGGCCAGCAGCCCCTGTGTGTAGAGCATTCAAGTTCTCCTCACACCTGCGTGGGTTTCCTCTGGGTGCTTTGGTTTCCTTCCACATCCCTAAGATGTAGACATGAGGTGAATGGGCTTGTCTAAGTCGTCCCAGCCTGAGTGTGGGTGTGCTTGCGAGTGTGCCCCCCAGTGGAAGGGCATCGTGTACAGGGTAGCTTCTGCCTTGCATCCTGACCTGCAAGGAGAGATTCCTGCCACCGAAGACCTTGAACTAGAACAACTGGGTTGGAAAATAATGATCTGACTTGTTTTTATTAATCTTTCTTAAGTGTATATATAGCTACATTTATTTCAGTGTTTACTATTACAAGTATTTTAGGTCTTTATTAAAAAACTTGCTATATTTTTGCAACCAGAACCTTAACTCCTGTTTACATCAATTAGCCTATATGGTAAAATTGGTTTTGTTATACCTCATTTTGCTCAAAGTTGCAGTTTCTAAGAACCTATTGAACACATCAAGTGAGGACTTACTGTGCCCTCTTTTCCCCCACTTCATTTGCTGGAAGTTTCTTCATGAAAATCTACTTGGACCAGATATATCAATTTGTGTTTTAAATATTGCAGAGAAAATATATATCCTGACACTTCAGAGGAGAAAAAAGTACTGAAACCCTCTTTTATTGTTTCAACAGTTAACAGTGCATTAAAAAATGTTTTGTTTTGTTATTTTTATTTATTTATTTATTTATTTTTAGGGAGGGAAGGGAGGGAGAGAGAGAGAAAGAGAGAGAGAGAGAGAAAGAGACATCCATGTGCGGTTGCTGGGGGTTATGGCCTGCAACCCAGGAATGTACCCTGGCTGGGAATCGAACCTGGGACACTTTGGTTCCCAGCCCTCGCTCAATCCACTGAGCTACGCCAGCCAGGGCTAAAAAATGTTTTTAAACTGTGTAATTCTCTACTCGTATTTTGTCTGTTCCTGTAGTAGGTCTACTGCCCATAAAAATCACCTATCTGCCCTGGCTGGCGTAGCTCAGTGGATTGAGCGCGGGCTGCAAACCAAAGTGTTGCAGGTTCGATTCCCAGCCAAGGTACATGCCTGGGTTGCAGGCCATAACCCCCAGCAACCGCACATTGATGTCTCTCTCTCTCGCTCTCCCTCTCTTCCCTCTCTAAAAATAAATAAATTAAATATTTTTTAAAAAGTTTTAAAAAATCGCCTATCTGCTGGCAAAGTGTACGGGAAGCTGTGCTGTAGAGAAATTCCTGTGTGTGATCACTGAGATGTGGATGTTGCAACTGTCTTCCCAGAGCACTACCCTCAGAGGCGTGTGGTCAGGAGGCCATGCGCCTGCTCTTGAACCACATCATAGGCTCCAGGAGAACGACCTCATAAACCTTCCTAGACATTTGGTGATCAATCATATTTTTATGCCATCAACACGTGGAGAAATGTCCCCTTGAAGAGTTTCTTTTATAAAAATAGAGAATCTGGCCATCTGTGAGTAGGTGTGTTCTTTCACTAGTAACTTTCCTGGCTTACAGATGGTGATAGCATCTCTTCTTTGAATGGACAATTTATACTTCTTTAGCATTTCTCCATTTTTCATCCTCCATTCTTAATGGTTCTCATCACTAGATTTTATCCAATTTTCTTACATTTTTAAAAGAGTGTAGGGTCCAGGCTTGGACCTATGGGACCCTAATTACAACTGGGAACCTGGACGCAACGGGCTCAGCAATGCCATTGCCTACTTTGCGCACCTGGGCAGATTGATTAGCCTCCCTGAGCCTCAGGTTTCTTATTTGCACCTGAGGATTGTGATATGGGTTGTTGGGAGGTTTAATGAGATTACGTAAAGCATTTAACACAGACCTCGACAGAGAGCAACCACCCAAGAAGTGACAACAGTCATATCCTTACTAATATTATTCTTATAGATCATTCTCCTGTTAACATGTGCCCATGCCATCCCTTTTAAATATCGATGCTCTACTGTATAGCTATGTAACATGAAGTGCGCATGTTAAAGATGCCCAGGTTTTTCCCTTTGTGTCATGTTTATGTCCTACTTGTGCTCTCCTTCAATCTTAAATCTGGGTACTTTAAAAACTTGCCCTGGCTGGCGTAGCTCAGTGGATTGAGCGAGGGCTGCGAACCAAAGTGTCACAGGTTTGATTCCCAGTCAGGGCACATGTCTGGGTTGCAGGCCATGACCCCCAGCAACCGCACATTGATGTTTCTTTCTCTCTCTCTATCTCCCTCCCTTCCCTCTCTAAAAATAAATAAATAAAATCTTAAAAAAAAAGAACTATCTTGAATGTGTCCCTGTTTTTGTTTTTTTTTTTTTTCAAAACTATCTCGTTCCCTGGAGAGAAAGGCTAACTGTGACACTATTCCTACCATGGCTAAACAGTAACAGTGAGGAGGGAGTGTATGATTCCCTTCAGCACACCAGAAGGAAAGTTCTTTATGGCTTTTCAAGGTGACCTACACTTGAGAGATGCTAATAAAGCATTGCTGGTGTGCACTGTTATGCATCAGTAGATTCTGCTGCATGAAAATACAGGGAAACTCAGGAAGCCCATTTATTCTGAGGAAATCATCCTCCAGCTCCCCTCTCTGGGTTCAGAAGTTCTCTGGTTTCCTCACTTCCAGAATAACAATATTTATTTACATTATGCTTTGGACAGCATCACCATGCATCACAAATTCTCATTTTATTCACCTGTATTAAAAATCCCCACTGACTAATATAGACCCCTGTGGGTTCTAAAAACTGTCGATGAAGTTCTCAGATAGATTTTTCCTTGAAAGAAAAGGATTAAAGAGTCTTTTCAAGGAGCATCTTTTTCACACAGTGTGAAAGAACTACAGGCGTTCCCATGGGAATTGGCCGCATGCATTTCAGCCCTCCCTGCAAGATGTCTATTGTTCCAGGGGCGTCTCTCGGTTTCCTCTGCCACCACATGTTGCTACACTTCACTTCCACTGAAAGCCTCAGAGGCTGCCTTATTCCCAATGATGCTAAAGAACTCAGCCCTTGGGCTTTTTGCTAGGACTCATACAGTCTGTTTGTAGCAGGCCTGTAAGCATGCAAAAAATAGCTTTGGTGACCTATTTAGGCAAGAATGCAAATCCCATATTTAAATTTGAATATGTATTGCAACTTATTGAAACACAAATACATAGGAAACACTTTCCTTCATTGGGAATGAGGGAAACATCTTCAAGCCTAACCAACTTTCTAAACCAAGAATTTGTGATCTGTCATAACGGTTTCATAGCGTATCCACTTTCACCTGTAAAACTGGGTTTTATAGGTCATATTTGCTTTGGAATTGATACCTTCTTGCTAAAAAATTTAATTCAAATTTCATGGGTTTATTGTTCTAGAAAGCATACCCAAATTCTCAAAGTATAAAAAAAATTTAATGTTAAATATATCTTTACTTATATTTAAATTCCATATATCAAACAACTGCATGGCCAATTCAAATAATTTCTTAAGTATTTTTCTATCTTTTCAGTTGAAAACATATATAAATGTCATGAAATCCAACAACAGATTACTATAGCAATTTGAAAGAACAAAACAGTGGTTAGATTCAATTATGATTTCTAAGATACCTGAATGATGACAACAACAAATAGTAACAGTGACTGTCCTGCTCAGGGACTATAATAATGCTATTGAATTTTCTTTGAAAATTATAGGCAGGGTCAGTTTCTTTGCTGGCTGCAAAATGTTTCTTCGGATAAACAAAAGCATGACAAAAAAATGAGCCTCAACTATTACGGAGCAAAGAAGAAAATGCACGAAGAAGCAGAGTTTTCTGTTCCTGAGGCCTAGAGACATGTTTTAATAACCCACAGAGAGGTGGCTTTTTTTTTTACCCTAATAATTGAGAAGCCTGCATACATGGCTAGACACAAGACTCCCAAAATGCTTAATCTGCATAGTCAGCCAGCGCCTGGGAAGTTTCTCTGCCCAGCTTGGGAAGCCCACTCCTCCTCTCACCAGGCAGGTTCTGACATTTACTTTAATGAGCTTTTGTTTTTGCTGAACAAAAGGACAGGAAAGAGGATAGCCATACCTCTTTGCACAGGAAGCTGGCCATCATAGGAAAGGGAAGGCAAACGCTTGATCTGTAGAGCAGTTTGTCTGGAACCCAGGACGATGCTCAGAGGCAGCCCCGTAGCCCCTGTCCCGTCCTGTCGGCCACGGCTGAGCTTCCCCGCGCTGCTGGTCAAGCCTGCGGTGCAGTTGATTCCCTCCCCTGGACTCACCGTGTGGAATAGGGCAAATGAGTAACTTCTCTCTCTCCCAAACTTCTGCTTAGAGCTCACAATTGGCACAAAGCTTTACTTATTTCCACAGGAGATTTACAGAAGCTTCTTGGAGCAAATCGGTAGTTTGAAAGAATTAGATTTGCCTAACAAATTTAACTTCTGTTAATGAGTAACTCACTTCAAGGAATGAAGGAAGTTTTAGGTTAATATCAGATGTGGGGCCTTTTATCAGGCAGGCATCAGTAAAAAAAAGGCTTGAGGAGGAATGGAGAGACGCAAGCAGTGAAGTGAGATAGTGTTTAAGCCAAACATGGTAGAAGAAAAACACCACAAGAGAAGTAGAATGGTGAAAGGAGCAAAAAGTCTAAGTATGCAGTTGATATGGCTGATGAAACACTGAACGACTACAGGAAGCAGCAGCAGTTTTTCCACGCTAGCACTGTTCCTTCTCGCGCCCATCCAAACTGCTAATTCACTTTCTTTTACCATCCAAATATAGAACTCCTCCTTGCAGTCATGACACACTAGGGATCCCTTACAAGCAGTCCTGCATCCCCTTATATCTCTATTTCCTTTAAGAAGAATGTTCTTCAAACCTCTAATGCATAAATTAATTGGTGGTACCCAGTGGATTGTTATATGTGGAGGCTTTTCTCTCCCCTTTTAAGTGTATGACAAGGGCTTTGGCCCCTTATTGATCTGAGGTTTTGCCTACATATAGAGTGAGAGAATATTTCTGAGTTACTTCTAACCAGCTTTCAGTCAGACTAAGTGTGTGCGTGTGGTGGGGAGAGTAAGATGTACAACTGGAAATATCAATATTTCCGTGTCTTTGGCAATCATGCTGACATGTAGATAAACTGCTGGCTCAATTAAAAGGCATATTCATGAGGCAAAGAGGACTTTCTTTTGTGCTTACCACCCAGCATCCACTTAATCCTGCTTCTTATAAGAACTGTACCCAAGTTTCTCTTGGGAAACCATGTTCTTGAGGCAGAATTGACTTACAGAGACAGGTTGGGTCTTAGCCAGTTGGAGAAATTGCATCCTCTGACCATCATGATTGGTCTCTGGGAGGCATGTGACTCCTTCCAGCCCAAGGACAGTCATGACAAAGGCTAATGTTTGGCTTGGATGGGACAGAGTCATTCCTGCTGGATGGTTTGATGACAGGAAAATACGAGGACTGGTTATTCTTGCCATTTGGCCACCAAGAAACCAAATCATAGTAACTTCATTTGGGCTCCTTAAATCAGCTACTGCTGAAGGTGACGAAGATCCACCCTTCGCCGTAAATCAGTTCTTTACCAGCTTAAATAATTTTAGGTTGGGTTTTTCTGCCATTTTCCATTAAAAAAAGTTCTACCCAACAGAAGCAGCAAAACTCAGGTTTGTGGGAGGGCTCCTCTGGGTCCCCACAGGGCAGCTCCTTGCAAAGGAAATGAATGAGGAGACTCATTAGGAACCAACTGTGATAAATGAGTGCCTTGAATGACAACCACAGGCTTCCACCAACAACCAGTAGAGACCAGAAAGGCCTAGGAAATAATGTAGTCCTTCAGTGTACCCGAAAGTGGGGCTTTCCAAATTACTTCTTAACCAACTCCATGTTCATTTCTTCAAATGCTTCCACTTTAACCACCTAGACCTGTTTGGTGGTTCCCAGCCACACACCGTTTGACCTCAATAAACCTGATTGTGGGATCCATCCATGCATGCACAATTTTCATAAATTCCCTTGGGTAATTAGTTTCACAGACTACTGCTCTATTTTTTTTTCCCTCTGCTCCTGCCCCAACCCCATCCTTGGTAAATTTGAAATAAAGAACAATCTGTTTAACCACAAAGTCAGACTAAGATGCTTCCTTTATAGCAATGATATAAATTCAAAAGCAACTTTAAGTGGGTAAATTACATACGAACACAGAAACCTGAATGATTTCATTTTCTGTAAGTCACTTTTCTCACCTGTGACAGTCCTCCAGGTACACCATTTCTGTGTTCAGCCACCCAGCTTTGCAAGAGCCTATGACATGCACAGAAAACCTCAGCGATATCCAGGAACTCTCCTGAAAACTTGAGGCCCAGAGAGCTTCATTGGTACGTTCTATACAATGCTTAAGAAATAAATGATACCAACTGTATACAAATTCTTTCAGAAATTTTATTTCATAATAAAATGCCTTGAGAACTATTTCTGTATAAATTATAAATAAATATCTATACATGTGTGTAGTGGCTGATAGCATGTCATCCTAGGAATACAGCACATAGTGTTTATCCATTGCTCTACTGATGAGGTCATAAGTGGCATGCAGGATTTTACAAAGAGACACTGTGTTGTTGGGGTTGAAAGGACACGTTTCTGAGTTAAGCTGCCTGGGTTCACAACCAGTTCTACCATTTATTAGCCATGTGGCTTTGGGCCATAATTCTAACCTTTTTTTATATGTCAGGGTTTTTTTTGTTGTTGTTTTCTGTCTAAGGCAAGGATGTTAATTGTACCCACCTCCTAGAGTTGTTATGAGGGTTATCTAGGGTAATCTTTATAAAGTGCTTAGAACCAGACTGGAATGTCCTAAGTGCTGAATTGAGTGTTTGTTAAATACACACTAAGAGGAACATCCTTGTAAGTGCTTCCTGGTGCATAATTGCAAGAATTTATTTGGGATACATACCAGAAGTGAAATTACTGGGCTGTAGGGAGTGTTTGTTAAATACACACTAAAAGGAACATCTTTGTAAGTGCTTCCTGGTGCACAGATGCAGGACTTTGTCTAGGTTACATAGTAGAAGCGAAATTATTGGGTTGTAGAGTGTGCACATTTTTCATTTTACTAAACACTGTTAATGTACACTCCAAATTGTCCGTACCAACTAGTACTCTCACGAGAAGGGCGCATTTTGGTCACATGCCTGAAAACATTCAGTAAAGATTCTTTAATTTGATCTGTTAGATGAAAAATGCTATTTTTTGTGTGTTAATTTGCCTTTCCAGGCAAGTGATGAAATTAAACACATTTTAAATTCTGAATTTATTCATAATTCCTCTTCTGTTTAGACTCATATTCTTTCCATGGATTTGCATGGAGTGTCTTTTTCTTACTGATTTGAAGCCGTGTGTTATGTATTGTAGATACCAAGGCTTTGTCACCTGCATATATTGCAATTAAATTTAACCTACGTTTCACCTTTGTCTTGGGAAGGGTATTTGCTATATAAATTTTTTGTTTTAACTTAAAATTCAAATACGTAATACATTCACATAGTTCAAAAATTAAAAATGCATGTATATTAAAACGTACACAGTGAAAAGATAACCTCAAACTCCTTTCCAACCTTTGGTTACAAGAAACAACATATATTCTTTCAAAATTTCTTAATTCAAATACAAATATAAATATATACTTGATTTCCCTAATTTCACATAAATGGCAATTTGCTATATATACTCAATTCTGTATAATTGCTCTCAATTGCTTTAATCACTTAATATCTTGGTGCTTTTTCCATATTGGCATGTAGAGAGCTTATTTTTTTAAAGTTGTATATTATTCTACTATATGAATATGCCATAATTTAATTTAATAATTGATAGGTAAATTTGACCCTTCTTCACTTCTAAAAATAAAGCAGTAAATTAAAATGGGAAGGTTTAGCTTTTAACATATTCATCTTTCCTTTTATGGTTTATACTTTTTATTTCTTATTTAAGAAAGCCTTTTCTACACTGTTCATAAAGATAGATAATTCTTTATATTTTTCTAAAATAGGAAATTTTTTTTTCATATTTAGGTTTTAATGTAAAATTTATGTTTGTTTATAATGTGAGATAAGAATCTGATTATATATATATATACAAAATATATATGTAGCAAGTTTTTCTAACACAATTTTTCAGTCTGCTTATAACGTGTCAATTTATGATACCAGTGATTTATGATTTGTGATACCAATATGGTCTGCTGTATTCCCGGTTTGCAGAGGTGTTTGGGTCTATTTCAAGAGCCTCTGTTATGTCCCACTGGTCTGTCTGTTTTCCTCGGTGCCAGCACCACACTGTTTGCATGATCTCAGTTTTTAAGTATGTCTTCATATTGTATGAAAAAGGTCGCCCTTCTTTATTTCTTCTTTAAAAACTGTCTTAGCAATTCTTCGACCTTTACAATACTTTGACCATATACATTTTAGACTCAGTTAATTAATTAATAGAAATGAATTTGAGATCTTCAGTAGAATCAAATAGATTTGTATGGAATGTAATGAATTATATAGATTATTTGTGAAGTACTGATATTTTTAAATTTAATCTTCATTGTATTTTTTCCATTACCAGTTAGCCTCCTTATACACCCTCCCCGCAAAGCCACCACACTGTTGCCCATGTCCACAAGTCCTTTTTCCTTTTTCTCAATCCCTTTACCTTCTCACCTCCCCACCCCCCACTGCCCCAACAACTAGCTGTCATCTGCTTCCCCATTTTCCTTGTTAGTTCAATTTGTTCATTAGATTCCACATATGAGTGAAATCATATAGTATTTGTCTTTCTCTGACTGGTTTATTTCACTTAGCATAATGTTCTCCAGGTCCATTCATACTGCTACAGAGGGTGAAATTTTCTTTTTGGCTGAGTACAATTCCAGTGTGTAAATGTCCCATAGTTGTTTTATCCATTCATCTACTGATAGACACTTGGGCTGCTTCCTTATCTTGGCAATTGTAAATAATGCTGCAATGAACAAAGGGTGCTTATGTTCTTTTGAACTAGTGTTTTGGGTTCTTTCAGATATATTCCCAGGAGTGGGATCACTGGGTCAAAAGGCAGATCCATTTTTAATTTTTTGTGGTATCTCTATACTGCTTTCCACAATAGCTGCAACAATCCACATTCCCACCAGCAGTTCAAAACTGTTCCCCTTTCTCCACATCCTCACCAGTGCTTGTTGTTTGATGATTTATTGATGATAGCCATTCCAATGGGTGTGAGATTATATCTCATTGTGGGTTTAATTTACATTTCTCTGATAATGTGAAGTTGAGCATCTTTTTACATGTCTATTGACCATCT